TTTTCTGATGCGTTACTCGTAGATCAGATCAACGAGCGCATCTTGAACAGCACCGAGCAAAGGTTGTCGACCTCCACCCACTATGCGTCGGCGAGCACCGTGCTCAGCCATGGTCTGTTCGCGGTCCCGCCACCACTGTCGAAAGCACGATACTGTAATGCGCCATCCACGCTGCCGAAAGTGGGCTTCGGCGCGTGAAAACACCCCTCCTCCTTCAGTCGCAATCCACTCAATGGCTTGTTGTTTGATGCTGATTTCCTTCGGCTGGCATTGAAACTTAGAGAACGAGAAAGCAGCTCCTGGTCTCTCTTTCGTCAGCTAGTGCGTCGAGCATTCGTTTAAGCAGTACTTCAACCATTAATAATGACTGGCACAGCTAGTGCGTTCTATTTTTATACAACGCCCTTTCAGAGAGCGTTGTAATCGAAGGGCGTTCTCTTCGATGCAAGCGTTTTATTCGGTATTTTACGTTAGTCACGGAACGACAATTATGGTGTCTGCGCCGACAAACAGGACGACAAACAGGAAAATGTTTTAAAGCAATGACGACTACAACAGCTTCAACTATGGTGATACGAGCAATGCTGAGTACTGAGGTGATCACAGCGACTATTACTACGGCAACATTTGTATCGATAGATCTGCTTTGCTTTTTTGTCATAAAAGCCTTATTCCAAGAGACGGAGTTAAGCTTTCACGATTACCTCTTGTCAGTCTATTCACCACAGTTAGTAACCTTGGAGTGCTTAGAAGCGCCTTCTCAAAAGTTATTAGATTGTATGAACAATATTGAATAGTGACCCGGAGCTACCATTAGGTAAAGTATGTTATTAGTATTTGTCGTACAGTATGTGGTTATGTGGATACATAGACATGTATGGATACAGTAACTATAGCGGTAAGTTGTTTTTATAAATATATATCACTTCGTAATTCGCGCCGTTTGGCACAAGTGGATCAAGGGACCTTACAGCGCCTCTTCACGAAGAAGGATCTTTCATAAATCGGTGCAAAGTCCCCCGAGTGGGCCCGTGAATGAGAAATGGGGTGTTCCAGAACGCCTAGTGCGGAAACAGCGCCGCGCTTGAGCGATTGCCTCAAAGATGTAATGATACTACATTGCAGCACGTGGGGCCCAACGACCCTCATATGTATCCAAGATCGATACAAAGTTGCGGATTGCCTGGAGACCCTCCGTGATCAAGATTTTGTTGCCAAGGCACAGAGGACCTGGTAGCCCTCTAGTGTTCAAGTTATCCTACCCAGGCGTGACGAAAGAGGGGTTCGCACTTATTGCTGGTAGGTGGAATCATTCGCGGCAGGTCAATGTACTTGGTCACAGTTGCCAAGCGAGGTCGCTTTGCATGACGCAGAGTTTCCGTCGCAAAGGCCACCTTCTTTGGAGTTTCTTGCGCGGAGTCAGTTGGACCAGCAAATTGGGGAACCGCCTCTTCTTCGTCTGAGATCAGCGATCGATTCGATAGCAGCTTGATAACGGCACTTTCAAACGCGGGAGAGTGAACGATTTGAGCCGATGGACTAAGGTGGT